TGTGAAGCAGCTGAGGATTGTCTCTGTCACTGCACGGTCCAGGCAGATTCAGGAACTGCGCCTTCATTTGGATGCACTATCCCTCGCTTCCTCACACGTTCTTGATGGCATCAAGTCGGAGGAGAAGAAGGCCAAGAAGCAAAAGACAGAAGACAAACAGGCCGGTGGTGTGGGGTATATATATATATTAATACTGTAGATGGACAAATGGCAACTGTTTTAAGTTCTACCCTTATAAATGAATACTGTATATATATATATATATTATTTGCAAATATGCAGCAAATGTGCTGCAAATGCAGTAAGCAGAAACAAATCTGCTTACTGCAGTCTTGGCTGGGCGGGTAGCGTGGAAAAGTTTGGAAGACAACATGTAAGATTTGAACCAACTGCAGTAAACAGAACTATATTTTTCTGCTTACTGCAGGGTGCATTCTGGCCGCCTGGCCAGGAGACGGAAGACCCCGAGCTGGAAGCCCAGCTTGCTATGATTTCTGAGTGCAATGCGGTCGACAAGGGAGCAGAAGAAGACTTGGAGCTAAACATGAAGCCGGAGCAGGAGCAAAACCAGGACCACAATGAGGCAAACCCTGACAAGGAGGATGAGGTTATGGAATTGGAGATTGCAAATCCAGGTGAGAGTGAAGATGAAGAGATTGAGTATGACTTTTCCACGGGGGTGAACTTTGTTTGCGATGGCCCCTCTGGTGTTTCATCGTCCGATCCGTCACCTCCAATTGCCGTGGCCCCTCCCTCTGCATCGTTCAAGGACATGCCTGCCTTCGTCTTTCTGGAGAAGCTGAATCTGACAGAATTGCCCCACGTGAATGGTGCGGGCATCGGGGTTCATGTGACAATCCAGGCATGGCAGGTCAGATATCCACCAAGTGGCTCCCAGAAAGCTTCTTGTGCGCGCTCGTGGGGCAACCTTTCCAAAAAGGGATTTGTCTCGCAGTGCAAGGCGCTTCTTGAATGCTTGTTGTGGGCTTGGGAGAGGCACTTGGCAGAGAACCCTTCCTGCAGTGTCTCCCAGACCAAGGTGGGTATGCTCAAGGGAGCATTGATTGCAGACCTTGGGCGTCACCTTGAGAAGTGAAATTCATGAATTTATAGATGCACGATCTTCTTGTGGGGTGCCGGTGGCTTTTTGTACAAACAATGGGTCCCTTGCATATGGAGCTCTACCTGTGGTTTTTGCTGCAGATCTGCTAGATGTGTATGAATATATAGAGAGAGAATAGAGAGCGAGAGAGAGAGAGAAAAAGAGAGACATGTTCCATATTTTGTGGATGAATGGCACCCCCTTCTGCAGTTGTTTGCAGCTCTTTGGAGGACTTCGAGACGATGGGTGGGGGAAAAAGACAGCTTGTGGAGAACGACCTGCAGTAAGCAGACATGGTTTCTGCTTACTGCAGTGCTGCATTTCTTTTAATTATGCCGGCATAGACCCCAGATAGCACTTCAAGAAAAGTTGGACACCATGGCAAGAGTGGGAGACAAGCTTGGCAGACATCCCACTCAAAGCCGGGAAAAGGATGGAAAAGGTAAACAAGACCTAAATCATCTTATAACAGCACCCGCGTCAAAGGCAGGCAAGAAAATGACAAGGCGGCAGCGGCAGCCAAGAGCGAAATCAGGAACAAAGACAAGCTTGGGAAACACGGCAGCAGCGGCAGCCAAGAGCGAAATCATGAAGGGAGACAAGTTTGGGAGACAAGCCGGCAGCGGCAGCCAAGAGCGAAATCAGGAAGGGAGACTAGCTTGGGAGACAAGCTGGCAGCAGCAGCCAAGAGCGAAATCATGAAGGGAGACAAGCTTGGGAGACAAGCCGGCAGCGGCAGCCAAGAGCG